TTCACCTTGTGCTCGTTTGTTTCCCTCGCTGACGCTCAGGATTCTAATTTAGAATCACTCGCTGCGCTCGTGATTCAACTTTAGAATCCTTCGCTTGCTCGGTCATCCAAATCGAGCACGCGGTTAAAAAGGAACTTTCCACTCTTGTATAATAAATAACTATAGTCGATAGTGGAGCAAGTCTCTGTGTATTAAGGTATGAATGGCTTAGTAAGTATCCTCAGTTATTAAAATACTTATGTTATGATAGAATAACTATTAAGGGAGTAAGTGGAAGATTAGAATCGGAAGGTTATATTTTTTAAATTTAGTTTATAATGATATAGTATTTAGAGAAAAGTTTTACGTTTTTAAAAATATGTCTTGCTCAGCTAATGGTATTTTAGGAGATAATTTCTTAAAACGCTATAATGCGATAATAAATTATAAAAATAGTGTGTTACAATTAACTAACAATAACATGAATGTTTCTATTGAAATATCATATAACGCTAGGTACTATAGAGTTCTACCCAGAAGGGATAGGACCTGGGAGCGTAGACGATAATTGAAAAATACTGATAGAGATAAACAACGTCGAGGACGTTACAGTACAGACATTTGATTCCGCCGCGGTGCGAAGTAATAAGGTTTATTCCTACATCATTTTCTAGCGATTGCGTTGTTTTATCAAAAGAGATTCAGCAAGGAGTTTTCGTAGCTGGATTAATTGCGAAACCAAATAATGGTCGCATTCCCGTGAGAATATTAAATACTACAAGTAATGAAGTAGAATATGATTTTCAAAATATAACTATTTATGACTTGAATTATTTTGACGTATGTTGTATTTCGGAAGAACAGAATAGTGTGAGTAGAGTAAAATTATTGTTTGAGTTATTGAATTTGTCAAATATGAATCAGGAAGAAAGACGTAGTATCGAACATATTTGTGCGAAATACGCAGATGTTTTTCATCTTCCAGGAGATAAATTATCGACTACCAATGTTATGACTCATAGCATATCCTTAAAGGATAATGTCTCTCCTTGTTATATAAAGCCCTATAGAATACCTCATTCGCTAAAGCAAGAGGTACAAAGACAAATTGATGATATGTTAGCCAACGATATAATAGAGGAAACAATTTCGGAATGGTCCAGTCCAGTTCTTTTAGTTCCAAAAAAAACAGATAGGTCAAACGAAAAGAAATGGAGATTAGTTATTGATTATAGGCAACTTAATAACAGAATAAAAGATGATAAATTCCCTTTGCCAAATATAACCGATATTTTAGATTCCTTATCAGGTAGTATTTATTTTTCAAAACTAGACTTATCACAAAGTTATTACCAATTATGCTTAGACGAAAACTCAAGAAAATATACTGCATTTAGTGTAGATAAAATGTACCAACTTGAATTGGACCCAGAATCCCGAAAATATACAGCCTTTACAACAGATAAAATGTATCAGATGAAGCGTTCTCCTATGGGATTAAAAACATCTCCTAGTGTTTTCTCGCGATTAATGACAATTGCTATGTCAGGTATCAATTATAATCAAGCTTTTATTTATTTAGATGATTGCGTCGTTATTGGAAATTGCATAGATAATCACAATAAAAACCTAGTAACTGTATTAGAACGTTTACGAAAAGTCAATTTAAAATTAAATCCAATGAAATGCGAATTTTTACAAACCGAAATTATTTATTTAGGACACAAAATAACGTCGCAAGGTATTTTTCCCGACAATAGCAAAATAGAGACATTGCGCAAGTATCCGGTTCCCTCGAACGCGGACGACGTAAAACGATACCTAGCCTTTGCTAATTATTATAGGAGATTTATGCCTAATTTTGCAAATATAGCTTTTCCGTTAAATAAATTATGCAAAAAAGATGTTTTATTTGAGTGGACAACCGAATGCGAAAAATCATTTCAACAATTAAAATCCCTTTTGATGTCCCCATCCGTACTACAGTATCCAGATTTTTCGGAAAATAATATTTTTGAGTTACGTACAGACGCATGTAAAACAGGATTAGGCGCCGTTTTGTCAAACAAAAATGGTCATGTTGTCGCTTACGCAAGTCGTAATTTATCGCCAGCCGAAAGCAGATATCCTATAATCGATTTAGAATTGCTCGCTATAGTATGGGCTGTAAGGCATTTTAGACCGTATCTGTACGGTAGAAGGTTTAAAATCCTTACAGATCACAAACCGCTCGTATATTTATTTAGTTTAAAAGATCCGTCCAGTAGACTAACTAAGTTTAGGCTCTACCTCGAAGAGTATGATTTTGAGATCGTGTATATCCCGGGTCGAAATAATGCAGCTGCAGACGCATTAAGTCGACTCCCGATTACGATGACGTGTGAGGAATTAAAATCACTTAATGAACAAGTTGTATCGGTACTTACTCGAGCACAAAGTAAAAAGCTAGAGTCTAAAGAACCAGTCTTTAAAAATAATTTGACTGAAGAGTTATCTACCAGTAGCAGGCCTGATCAACCTGAGACTGTAGAGATTCTTAAAAAACCCAAGGACGTGACAGAGTTAGTTTTCACTAGTGAAAAAATAAATAAGAACACGGATTGTCTTTTCTCTGATAAGAAATTTTGTATTTATGTGCCTTCACAGTGTACTATATACCTAGATACTCGATCGTTATCTACCCCACAGGTGTTAGCGAGAGATTTAGGATCTTTTTGTGAAAAACAAAATATTAATGAGATTTTAATCATTAAAACTAAGCAAAATGCAACTAATATAAAAATACTTGCAAGTTATATGAAAAAATTGCATCAGAAGGTACCAAAAATTTTAATTACTAGAGATGTGATAAGAATAAGTAGCTACGAGGATAAGAAAATTATACTTAACGACTTTCATATGTTGCCCACTAGCGGTCATGCAGGGGTAAACAGAATGTTGAATAATTTAAAACAATACTATTATTGGCCAGGAATGACTAATGACGTCATAGAATACGTCAAAAAATGTAGTCACTGTCAATTTAATAAATTTTCGAATCATAGTATTAAGGAGCCAATGGTTATCACTAATACCGCAAGCTCTGCATTTGAAAGAATAGCTTTAGATATCATGGGTCCATTGCCAGTTGATATTAATAATAACAAATACATTTTAACGCTGCAATGCGATTTATCTAAATTTGTAGAAGCGTATCCTTTGCCCAGTAAAGATTCCGAATCTGTAGCACGAGTTTTTGTAACCAATTTTATTTTAAGATATGGAATCCCTAAGGAAATCATTAGTGACAGAGGCACAGAATTTATGTCTAATATTATGACTGATATTTGCAAAATATTACATATAGAAAAATTAAATTCAACGGCTTATCACCACGAAACAATAGGTTCTCTAGAAAATAGTCATAAGTCATTAGGAGCATATCTGCGAATACAGTGTGATAGGAACACTTTAGACTGGAGCGACTGGTTAGCATTTTGGACATTTTCTTATAATACTACGGTACATACACTAACAAAATACACTCCATTCGAATTAGGTCATGTCGCAATCCGCTATTTACGTAGATAGTTTTAGCAAGTAAGCAATATTATTAATTCAATTATTTTGTAATGTTTTATTTCACTCAATAAACGGACTTCAAACTATAAACTATGTTTCCTTAAATAACCAACGATAGGCTAATATTAGAAGACCGACAGTGTTGCCAGGTCTCCTGATTTAACAGGAGATCTCCAGTTTTACTAAAATTTCTCCTGTTCTACTGTTTTTCTTAAAATACGATTTTCTTTTTTAAATTGCATGTTGAATAGCATTTTCCGGCATTAATAATGTAGGTAAACTTAATTATTATAAAATAAATGTTGTCAAAAAAACGAGCTCTGAGGAAGCGGCAGAAACCACAGAAAAAACATTCGTTACTGGCCTATATCTTGATTTCATTTACCAATTCTAGGGTGCAAATCGGAAAAAGTACGCTTCACTGTTTTTTCTTGTAGCTCTTTCTATACATCTTCTATTTTTTCTATAACGCCTCCAGATTTTTAAAAATCGGCCGTGGCTACACTGGACTGAAACAAAAACCAATAGAGTTTTTGACGGGATTTCATCGAGTGTGGTTGGCGTCTTATTTCAATTATTCTTAAATTCGTTCATAGTGGATATTGTGAAATAAAATTGGTATGATTTTGTGTTACAACCATCTGCGCAACTGAAGAATCAGTGTAATCTTTAAAATATACTCTATTCCGGTTAAGTGGACGTGAGAACTTTATTGTAGTGTTAACCACCTCACAGAAGCTTATCGAAAAAACCAACTCGATATATTTCGTGCCAAACACTCCGAGAAACAATAGAATGCGTCACACCGACATTCTAATGTAAAAAAAAAAGAAGATTAAGATTTGTATTTATGTATGCAACTGAAGGACTTGTATCCATGGTCATGAATAAATTATATAAAAAAAAACTAATAAACTAACAAAAAAACGGAGTTTTTGGCGGGATTTCATCGAGTGCGGTTGGCGTCTTAATTTAATTATTCTTAAATTTGTTCATAGTGGATATTGTGAAATAAAGTTGGTGTGATTTTGTGTTACAACCGTCTGGGCAACTGAAGAATTAGTGGAATCTTTAAAATATACGCTATTCCGGTCAAGTGGACGTGAGAATTTTATTGTAGTATTGACTACCTCACAGAAGCTTATCGAAAAAGCCAATATTCGATATATTTCGTGCCAAACACTCCGAGAAGCATTAGAATGCGTCACACCCACATTCTAATGTAAAAAAAAGGAAGATTAATACAAAAATAAGACGATGGCTGCATGGCTATGCCTTTGCCTTTCTCAATAGAGAAGAATAGAACTAAAAAAAAAACAAATGACTGTCAACAAATTAAAAAAAAACAAATGTCAAAATAACAGGCTCACTTGATAAGTTTTAGAAATCCTATTTGAAATTTTGAATGCTATAAACTTAGTCGGTTAGAAAGGAAAAAACACAAAGTAAAGTAAAAGAATATGTCTTCATATAAGGTAAGTACATACAGAATCCTGGTTTCGGTTTTTATTTCATTTATCATTAATATTGTGGTATTTAACAGCCAATCGACTCAAAAAGAGAAGAATTCAGACGTTATTTAGAGCGGGCTGGAGTTATGGACGCGCTCACTAAAGTTCTCGTTAGTCTTTACGAAGAACCCGATAAACCGGAAGATGCTTTAGAATATGTACGAAAACATTTAGGAACTGATGGCGGTGATGACGAGTTGGAAGTAGCGCGGGCTCGGATCGCAGAACTCGAAGCTGAAAATGCATTGTTAAAAGGAGAAGCAGCACCAGCAGAAGGATAACCTAATTTACTTTCTACCTAGTGTATCTAGTTAATATGGTGATGTTCAATTTATGATCTCAATTAAATTACATTATTTAGGTTTATTTCGAGATATGTTGAGTCTGAAGATGATTTAACTTACTGTTATGACTTGAGAGTATTTTTGTTATGATTAAGTTTGTATTAGTGCAAGGAGCACAATAAAGTTTTTGGTTCTCACATGAACTGTTTTTTCTTACAAAAGTGCTTGGTCACATTAATGACTGAATCTAGTAATTTTTAGCATACTTTAGATGAGACTACTAACTATGGCTTTTTTTATTCAACCATTAGTAAAAGGTACTGCTACATTCATCTGGTACTGTTGCCTTAAGTCAAGCAACAGTTGTTATTCAGTTTTGTTGTCTAGATATTTTTATTACTAAATAAAACCAATAAGTGTTGTTAGGAAACAACCAGATTATCGTTACCTGGAGATTGATTTTTATTGAAACTAACTATCAATAAGTGCAAGTTTCTATTCAGCCTGTTCACAAATTGTGTCTGGTCATTAAAGGTTTTTCATAGAAACATTATTAATTGAAAGGCCACACAATTATAAACTGAGCCAAGGTTATAGTGTAGAAACTCCACAAGAAACAACCCATCACACAAATACTGGGAACGGGACCAAGGACCTTTTGGAGCAAATTTTTGTTATTGCACTAACTGGGGGTCTCTACAATGGTGAAATTGGATGAAACTTTAAATGTTTCATTTGAAAATTCTTGAATTTGACAATATTGCTGATTCATCATACAACATTTCATTTCAAAAAGGTTTTTTTCCTTAAAATATATCCTAACATTTAATGATAAAAAGATATACAATTATTGTAATCAACATCTATAACTTAGGTATAGTACTTGTGCCTGTGGTACTGGAGCATGGAGCAGAGGACTTAAATAATATTTTCTTTGAGTGTCCCCTCAATGATTGCTCCTCTTTTATTGATTCTCTCGTATCCCTAAATGTCCCTCGCCCTTCTTCCATTCCTTCTTTTATAGATCACCGAGAATATAATTTATATGACATGTTATCAGAGTTCCTAGCTAAACATAATATAAACTATAAATAGTAAAAGATGAATAAAAATGTATCTAAAGAAAAGTTTTACTAAAAAAAAACCACGCGGACCAGGCAGCGGACGGGACTCGAACCCGCACCCTTCGCAATCCGGGCGAATGCACTGACCAATTATGCTACCACGGCCCTGATGGCCGCGTCGAAATTTTCCTAGCCTCAAGCTGCAAGGCAGCGCCATCTCTTCGCATTGTAGGTAACCCACGATGTCAAATGAATACTTTTCTTTAGATTTAAACATCTAGCAGTTAAATGCTAAAAAATAAATAAAACATAACTAAAAAAACTAAAAATATGATATAATTATAATTTCCTGATTCTATACCTTTATATTCCTTCTAAATTTCGTTTTGCATCCTTTATAATTTTATGATTTTCTTACCTCTTACCCTATCGTGGCTGATGCACAAACCGTACGTACTATTTTAATTATATATAAAGAAAAAACATCTGAAACATGCAAAAAAATCGCTATTTTAGACTTCTTGAACTTCTAAAAATGGATGTTCTAATCTAAAACAATCTGAGGTTTTTATTCAGTGATGTTAGGTAATTTGAAAATGTATGTCATTATTCAATAATTGATGGCTCGATGGCTGTTGGCAGACCCATTACACTAGCATTTACTCCTGAATTTCTGACTACATTGATATAAAATGAAAACCAGAAATCTTAATAGAGTTGCAAAAGCAACCGCATATTGAGCACAATTACGTAGCTCTCAAAGTAATGCTTGGAACTCTGGAACTAAACTCGCATACTAAGGGTTTTTAAACTTAGGGCGTGAAAAATACACTCTGCATTTTAAAGAAAAATAAAACATGTATTTTTTAAAGATGCGCTTCAAATGTTACAAGACTTTTTCCCATGGGTGTTGTAAGAGTCGAGTAAGACAAATCGGAGTTTCCATTCACTCTTCTGGTAGTAGGGCGTAGTGTTGGGTAGGACATGACTTGAAAAAGAGTTTGTAAGAGTAGCCTCTTTTTTGTACTGAGCCAGTACAATGTCCCACTTCAAATGAGGTGAGGCGTACTGAAGCTCGGCAATACATTTGAAGTGACGAGTACAAATATGACATTGAGGCGTACAGAAGCTCGACATTAGGTTTGTGTGCACGAGTAGCACCTCCTCTACGCACTATCAATCTTGCTGGATCCAGTATGCAGGACAGCGCTATATACGTAAAAGAGATAGAGATACAGATGGATAGTGCGTAGAGGACTTAAATATAATATCATGCCTCGCTCTCTCAGTCAGACTTACGAAGAGTGAGTGAGTAACGAGACGCGACTATCGCGACATTTAATGTGAAGTAGTACATTTTAAAATTTTGAGCCGCTCTTACATTTTGACGTCATGTCCGGTACAAATGTATCGCCTCTTGTAAGTCCTACTCAACACTAGTAGGGCGTTTAGTGCCTGCCTGGCCAGGATATTTACCACAGTGCGCATGGTATAAAACCTGTGAAATAGGTACTCCTTGAGCGAGTTTCTTGATCAGCCAGCGTACAGCCAGAACTCAAGTGCTGCTCCTGCACACTGTCGTACCGGTTCTTGCATACTAAATCTTTTACATAACCCCACAAAAAAAAGTCCAGTGGGGTTAGATCTGGGGATCTTGCTGGCCATCTAATTTGTCCATAAGTACCGATCCAGGAAGGAAAGTGTTCATTAAGAAACTCGGCAGTTCTCCTTACTGTTATGAGCCAGAGATCTTGCTGGAAAATAATATTTCGTCGATTTGCATCAGGAACATTATTTATCTTTCCGTGGACAGATTCCCTTCGTAAAAATGTATTAAAAAACCCGGTTTATAACAATCCCACAATAACAATAACATCCCAAACAATAAAAGAAAAACACACTTGATCATTAGTCTCGTGGATTCGCAAGGGATTCTATCTGGACCAAATACGGTTATTTCGCCGGTTGTTCATATTAGATGGCCAGCGAGATCTCCAGATCCAAACCCACTGGACTTTTTTGTGGGGTTATGTAAAAGATATAGTACCTATACAAGAAGCGGTACGACAGTGTGCAGGAGTTACAAAATGAACTCAAGACGTTACAAGCATTCACCACGCAAAGATAATGAAATCGACAGGCAGACAAGAGTGAGAATTTGGGTATGGAAACTTTAAAATATAATTTTGTTTTTCATGATACCTATTTCCCTCAGTTAGTTCCAGGGCTTAACACGAGTTATCTCCATCCACTAGTCTAACCAACAATCTGGTCAACAGGATAAACGAAGAGGTCTGGGTAGGCAAGCAACGGCGAAGTAATACTTAATATCGAAAGAGCGTCTATGCAATGCATGGATTAATATAGACGCTCTTACTCGTACTTGTTTGCCACCTTTTTCAGATAAGCAATTCTCTCTGGAATAATGGGTTGGAATCAGTTCTAAAGTTTGAAGGAATAAAAGTACAGGAAGTGATTCTATTTATTTATTTTTGGTTCACCTAAGCATGCCTTAACAAAAAATATCTTAAGCAGCTGCACTGATCAACTCAGTGTATTTTTTCACCTTACTAGCAACACTCATATCTACATATTTATCACCAATAGACACCACCATGCCACCAATCAAGCTAGGATCAACTTTAGCTGTCAGCTGAAGTGTTTCATTGCCCTTTAAGAATTTCTGTAAAGAATAAAAATTATTTTAATAACAAGATATGAATTAATCCTGTTAAAATTACAACCGTTGTGAACATGAAATATATACTTTTAAAGCTCCTTCCAAATTCTGTCGCTGGGCTTGATCGAGTGGCTTTGCAGTTATCACTTCACATGTCACCTCACCACGATGTGCAGCCATCATAATTTTAAAAGCATTGATCACAGACTCCAATTTGCCAAGACGTCCATTTTCAGCCATGATGCCAAGCAAGTTGCTCGTAGTTGCGGACAAATTGGTCTGAAAAACATACTTACACTTCACATTTTCCAATATCTATCACATGTTGTATACTTAAGGAAGTGAGTTCTATATTGTCCTAGTCACTCTAAAAAAACAAGTTCTTTATTTTGATTCTTATTCATGTATTAATCTGTTATAATGTACTATTATATATAAAGAAAAAAAGTTATACTTTATTGTAACTAAAAAAATTATCAAACTAAAAGGACACACACAGTAACCACCACCACCTTGGGAGTCATAAGTACAGATATAAGCAAGTATCAATATTGCCACTAATGTTGTATGAAACTTAGAAATCTTAATACTAGAGTAATTTAAATTAAATAAAACACTAACATAAAAACTTTTTATGGTAATCACATTTTGACCTCAGACCTTGAGATCTATAGAATAATAAATTAACTAAGTAACTCAACTTACAAGCTTTTTAGAAAGTGACTCTTAGAACACAAATTAGTGATTAATTTTTTTTTTGTTATTTTAAAAAGAATTTTTTATTCATTATTAATAAATCTTTTGCAAATATATATTAAAATCCTTGTTAGTTGTATATACTAGTACTATTATATTGCTGAAGTAGTACATTGCTGTTCATAATTATGTTTTGACATCCTCCATGGCCGAGTAGTTAGTATGCCAAGGTTTCATGTTGCTGACTCAAGAGGTCACAGGTTCGAAACCCAGTGAGAAAAGATGTTTGTGTGATGAATACAAGCATTGGTACTATGTGTATTCTATCTGTTACCCTAGTATCCCATAACACAAGCCTTATTGTGCTTACTTTGGAGTGTGTGTTGGAAATATTTATTTATTTATTTGTTTCTACAAAAATAAAGTTATAATTAAGTAGGTACCTATTATAATGTATGTCTCATAATCTTATCACAAGTTCTACCCTGCTTATTTTGGGGTTAGGCTGTGAGTGTAAGTAATTATTTAACATTATATTAAGTTAATAATTATTACATTTCTTTTATTATAAATCAGTTTCCATTATATTTTTAATAATAACTTTCAGATTCGAATTGTGAAATATGAAGAGGTACCTATTTAAGGAAGAAATATGAAGTATTATCAAATTTACCTAACGAAAAGTTTTCGTACCTTTGTTGCGAGGTGCTTAAGTGCATCAACTTTGAGGTTTCTTTTCAGAGTCGGATTGATGAGAAATTCTTTAAGTTTAGCATCGCTTTTGATGGATGCCTGGAATTGTGATAGTTCTTTCTCGACAGCATCAAGAGCTTTGCTTTTAGACGCTGCTGAGTAAAGAGCAGATGCGTATCTGCCTTCCAATCCAAAAACTTGAACTGGAGCTTTCACGAGCTGAGCAGCTGCAGCAGAAGTGCTCAGGGATCGTACCTGAAGGAACATTACGTAATTCGTAGTTATATGAGAGTAATGCATACATCTGAATTGAATAAAATTTATAATGCGCTTACCAGTACTTGTGTTCTCATAACAGACATGATTTTGCTTAAATTTACTGTAGTAGAATAAATTGATGGGGGCGACGAAGTACCTTTTCAGAACCGCATCACATCTGACAATTCTGATAGAAATGATAATGGCTGTTCGTATTTGCTGTTTGTCAGTTTGACAGCAAGGTGTCCTTTTCAAACTCTTTGAAAAGTAAAAAGGAGAGACTGTTATCAAGTTTACAAATAGCCAATACGCATAGCCATGTGGTGGAGGTTGCACATAATAGCAATTCGTCGTATTGCAGGATTTACACTGCCCAATTTTAACGGACCCTTTAGCTAATTAAGTTGCAGCACGAAACTTGCGCTGACCATTATTGCGCAGAAGTAAAAAATTAAGATGTCTTGGAGGGAAACGAGGTACGCGGGTGGACATGCGTTTCGTCGATTGGCTCTCCAGTCGTACCCATGCGCAGCTATCCTCTAGCTAGAGTTACGTGCCACGACTTGCCCCCCAGCATGAGCACTGCTATATTACATATAGCACGTTTTTATCTCGCTCAATTGTCAAATTATTATGGAGTTTGACAGTAAGACGCGATAAAAAACGTGATAAAATATAAATTGTGGTGAACATGCTACGGCGACTGTAATTTGAGTAAAACCGGATATTTACACTACCCAATTTCAGGAGTCCAATCGAAAGGGTGGGCGCGGCCCCTAGCTAGGGTAAGCAATTTATTACACCGCGCCAATCGATTTAAATCGGGTCCTTTACTCCCTAACTCACATTGTACCAGCCTTAGTCAGGGTAATGGTCCCTTAAAAAAATGGGTAGTATAAATCCCGTTTATGTGCTATTTGTTCATTTGATCATTTGATAGCAGTTTATCCTTAACATGCTCCAAAATGAGAAGGAGAGACTACTGTCAAATGTACGGTTCGGTCCTAATCGGTACCACGGTAGTATGGACATGACTAAAGGCAGAAACATTTTAAACGTGTCGCGTCGTGTCCGTAAACCTATTGTAAAAAAAGTTGTTACACTAAAAACAAAACATTATTTTGCATCAGTAATAACAATATTAAAGAAAATGAGCGTGAGGTATTTAAAAACCTTCGGTGGTTAGAAATAACAAAAAGAAATCGTAACCCCCAGGTGCAAGATATTTTTTTCAACGCATCTGCGCTGCCATGCATCTATATCTATAGGGAGTAAATATTCAAAGGTTTTATACATTATTTCTTAAAGGCTACCATTCACAGGCGCGCCCATTTGCCGGACTTGTTGCTGGCGACAAGTGCGCAGACAAACCCGCGTGTGAATGTATTGGTGAGCGCGGCTCGCGGCTCGGCGCGGCGCTCGCCGTCAGGAGACGCGAGCGCCGCACCGCACCCCAGCCGCGCCGTATAAAGCCCACCATTCACTACACGCACCGCGAGCCGAACCCCGAGCCGTACCCATTTGTGGACAAATCCGTCATTGCCCACACACTACACGAGCGCCGAGTTGCAGTCCAGTCGCTTGTGTACTTTGGTGAGCCTCGCGCGTATCGTTCTTCCCTATTCAACAAGATATAAAGATTCAACAAGAATCTTATTTCGTTCGCGGTGCTCGGACAGGATACGGGATTTATGAACAGTAAGTGAGAAAATGCATCACGTATCCTATTCGAGACGCGCGAGTAAGATCAAAACCGCCCGCACTTATCTTATTCGTGATCCGCTGGGAAAGTGTTAAACTTTAATACAAAAGCAAATGATTTAACAAATCTACCACCAGAGAAACATTTGTAGGTATTAGTTTAATACGAACCTCTTCATTGTTGTAAGTAGATCTCTGTGGTTCAGAAATGCGGTATTAATGTTACGGTTAAAGTTGGTCTATCTTTTTTTTTATTTCATACATTTGGTCCGATCGAAAGCCATTGGTGTCGCATCTGACATGATTCTCTAAATTTAAAACTAGATTTAACATCAGTCTCTCCTACTCATTCAGTTTAGAGAATGACAAGGATAAACTGTTGTCACATTTAGGTTCAAAGAATCATATCAGAATCGACACCAATCGGATGGATAGTAGTTCTTTGTAGACATGGGCGTTTTTGGTTTTGAATGCAAATAGTCCAGTCGGAATAAACATGAGACCTATTCTAACACCCATATTCTTAGTCGTTTCCTCGAGATTTTTTCCACTCGACTCAACCTCATTGGAGGAAATTCGTATGCTTAGACAACAAAAATATCCTTCACTTGAGATATTCCCCACTCAAGTGGAGGTCGAGTCGAGGAATAAACTGTCAAACTCAAGGTAGCTCTCGACGTACCTTAAGGCTTCCTCGAGTGGTGTTTAAGGTGTTTTCAAGTTGTTTTTATCGAGAATTATGTCTGATTTTGAGATTATTGACGAATTTGTGGATTTTATGGATTACGTATACGATTTATTTATTTATTTATTCAGTAACACATACACGATGATTAACCATATAATTATCCGGCGCGACGGTATTTACGTGATGCCGCAAATCCTTTTAAGGTTTACGACAATGATTCGTTTCAAAGAAGATTTCGGTTTAGAAAAGATACAGTCATACAAATAATATTTCCTCTGTTAACCATTATAGAAATAAAATCCTCCAAATGATGACGTCACAATGTTGAGGAATTCTCAGTGGAGGAATTCTCAAGTTTGTTCAAGATACCAACTAGAATACCATTTTCGAGGTTATTTGGAGGAACTCCTTAAGGAGCCGTCGAATGAGTTTGAGTCGAGGAACGTTTGAGGACGCGATTAAGAATATGGGTGTAAGACACCAGCGCTTAGCCAATTTTTTCCTAGATAGTATAGACCCCACGAATATGCCCTCTATTTGTCCCCGCTAGAACCCGTGTTTTGTAGCCAGGAAAATTGTTTAAACAAAGAAAAACCGGTTTTTTTGAGTTTTTTTTGCTTGTAAACGGGGATTTTGAAAATTTTTTTGAATCAAAGTTGTTCATTAGCTTGCCCTCTACAAAATCAGTTCTATGAAAAAATAACGTGAGATTGTTAGTTTAGCAGTAAATTGCAATTATGTCGGTTTTACGTTTGCAACAATTCAACATGTTATAATAAACATTTTGATTTCTAAAGTAGTTTATCATGTGGGTAACGCCACTCCCAAGAGAGTCATGTAAAATTTATCGACCTGTGTCGCAAACTTTAGCAACAATTCTCAATCTCCGAAAAAAAAGTACTTGCCTGTCCCGTCTTTCCCAGAAGGCGCACAGCGGGAAAAAAAATTCAGGTGATTCGATTCACCAAGAATTTTGAGGAATCGATCGAGTAGAAAAAAATCGTTAGTAAAAATGTTCGTTTTTGGACGATTTAATTTTTTTTTTAAAATTGATGTAGAATATTTTTTTTTTAAACTAATGTATTTTTCTCTCCTCAACTCGAATATACGATTGAAAATTTAAAAAATTCAGTTTATTTATGTGCAGAAATTATTTACAAAACTATTAACTAAAATTCGATTACAAGACTGCGTTCTATTCTATATTTCTAAATAAATTAATTTCGTCCTTTTTTCTTTCGGTTCATAATCGGAATTCTCAGGGTATATTAGTATTATATTATATATATATATATTCAGAATAGTATATTCGAGTTGAGGAGAAAAAAATACATTAGTTTAAAAAAAAAATCTACGTCAATTTTTAAAAAAAAATTAAATCGTCCAAAAACGAACATTTTTACTAACGATTTTTTTCTACTCGATCGATTCCTCAAAATTCTTGGTGAATCGAATCACCTGAATTTTTTTTCCCGCTGTGCGCCTTCTGGGAAAGACGGGACAGGCAAGTACTTTTTTTTCGGAGATTGAGAATTGTTGCTAAAGTTTGCGACACAGGTCGATAAATTTTACATACGTACGGCGTTACCCACATGATAAACTACTTTAGAAATCAAAATGTTTATTATAACATGTTGAATTGTTGCAAACGTAAAACCGACATAAATGCAATTTACTGCTAAACTAACAATCTCACGTTATTTTTTCATAGAACTGATTTTGTAGAGGGCAAGCTAATGAACAATTTTGATTCAAAAAAATTTTCAAAATCCCCGTTTACAAGCAAAAAAACTCAAAAAAAAACGGTTTTTCTTTGTTTAAACAATTTTCCTGGCAACAAAACACGGGTTCTAGCGGGGACAAATGGAGGGCATATTCGTGGGGGTCTATACTACCTAGGAAAAAATTGGCTAAGCGCTGGTGTCTTAGAATAGAAGTCGGTCCAAATTATAGCTATTCCGACTGGACTAAAACGGATATTTATCGGATTTCAGATTTCAAAATCGATTTTAAAATCCGTTTTTAGATATCCAATTTCAGATGTGCCGAACTAAGCCAATTCACTAGTTTGTGTTATGATTTGGTATTATTAGCTAACGACAATCACAAACAATTATTGTAGGAAGGAAGGATACTCGTAGATTTCCTTCATGCTTTAAATCTAGGCTTAGGACTAGTAGAAAAGTTATGTTTACGGTTAAGAGTAAAACTTTTGCGGCGCATTTAAAAATCGGCTTATATACAATGATTTCTTTTTACATATTTTTTTTTGTTTTTATTATTTTGCAAACCATTTACAAAATTAAACCTTATTACTTCAGCTTAGCGTTCTAAAATGTAAGTTGCTCGACTTTTGATGTTCTTAGACGGCACATCTTTCCAGTGATAAATAATCCCGCCTTAGAGAAGAGCAATAGATTTCCGTAAACAGCAAACCGAAAACGGACTTCCGAAAACGAAAGCACGAATTTCGAATCCGATTTACATTTGGATACTTGTGGTGGTATTAGATCGCTAGCTCGTTTTGGTTCGGTTAGATTTCTGAAATCAGATTTTCTTGTTCAGAAATCGTTCGGCGGTATCGATTTGTGATTCAAATCGGATTTTGGATTCGTTCTGATATATCGGACGCATGCCTAGTTCTTTGTATCGTTTCACACAAGCTTGGGATCGGATCGAACATCCCTACCCCGAAAAAAAAAGCAAAAACCTGTTTACTTGGCTGACGTAAACAAGATCGAGAGTTTATTTCAAAACTATTGAAATTAATTAGAAAATGAAAATAATTAAGTAATTTTGTATTAATACTTAATCACGTCCTATGTATAGCATGCTAGAGTAAATAATTATGGCGCGGCATATCGATTCAAATCTTACTAAATTATTAGACGGCTTAGGTCTGGAAGGCGAAGAAAATGATTTTTGTGATTTTACTATAGCGGATCAAAATTCTGTGGCTGAATCTCAGGGTATTACACCCACCACTCCTTCCAATTTTAAACCCGTTCTTGGTGGAAATGTCACTTACGTAGTAGCTTGTGTTTTGCTCAATGATGACAATGAAGTTCTAATGATGCAGGAAGCTAAAGAAAGTTGTGCGGGTAAATGGTACTTGCCAGCTGGTCGCATGGAAAAAGAAGAGACTATAATCCAAGCTACTGTACGAGAGGTCTTAGAAGAAACTGGTTTGCAGTGTAATCCCAAAACTTTATTGGTTGTGGAAACTGCTGGTGGCATGTGGTACAGATTCGTTCTAACTGGTGAAGTGATTGGTGGTCATATCAAAACTCCAGCAAATGCTGATAAAGAATCCTTGCAAGCAAAATGGGTATCTAATCTACAAGAAATCACATTACGCTCCAATGACATTGTCCATCTGATTGATAAAGCAAAATTATATAAACAGAATTATAAAAATGGATTGTGGCATAGAAATATTTTACCAGCTCTCGTCCCCCATGTCAAAGACTTGTTGAGATTAATTGTAGTGATAAAAAAAAGAAGTACAAATACATTACATGTCTTGCTAAGTGAAAAAACAACAATACATTTCCCTACTTGTGAGATAAATCCTGCTAAAAGTCTACATTCCACACTCCGGAGATTCATGGTTGAAATGTTTGGTGCAGATGTTGGCCAACATCGTCCTCTGGGATTGCTTAATGTTGAGGCTGATCCAGCAACTGATGGATTGTGCCTTACACTTCTGGTTGTGTTTCGAGCTCCACTTGAAGAAGTGCCAATGATTGGCAAGTGTATATGGCAAGAACTATCTAGAGATAATGAAAACAGACTACTCTCTATAATTACGTCAAAAAATATGGCTATTGAACTGCATGTAGTTCGTTGAAAAACATTAAAGTATTTAATGAAAGTAATGTTTTAGCAGTCTTACAACCACATGCAGTGATGTCAATTAAATTTAATACCTGCCAAAGTGATATTTTATTAATAGTGCAAATCAAGCTTAAAATTTCATTGACTTCCTTGAATGCAGGTGTTAAATTAAAAATGTTTGGCAATGCTCTTTACAATGTTGTCAAAACCCTGTAAATATTGTTTTGAATATATAATTGTTATAAATTAGTACTCAAATTACTACATCTTTATATTAACATAAATTGATTATTACCTTTGCCATTACAAGTTATCAAGAAAAAGGCAGTATGGCAACTTAATTTTATCAATTATATTATCAATTTAATCATCACTAAAAGTATTAACAAGTTTAACATTAAGTTTATAAAATAATATTATAATATAAATTTTAATAAACATAATTATGTATCGTAAGTTAACTAATAACACAATATTTAATATTACTTTAATACTTACTTTGGGCTTTAATCTGTAACCAATGGTATTAGGTTCTTTATAATTTTATTGTTATTTTTTATATTTTTTTAAATAAATAAATAATCCAAACACCGAGATTTTTATTACTGGGATACTTTATTGCCAACCTTAGTACCTCCCTAGAGTTATTTAGCACAGTTTATGGATCGTAAACACCCTCTTTAAACTCTACCTACGCTACTTATACCGCGCATCACCGCATCCAGCTGCGCCACTATCTACATGACATGATGCCACGTCACAGTATAAATACTGTTATTTGTTACTGGTTTTCGGGGTTTTATTATTTTGCTCTTTAATTTACACAGGCGCACAGTGGATCGACGCCATACAAACAATGGGACATAGGGTTAACAAAATTATAAAGAGTATTTATCAAAAGAATATAAACTCCTTTAATAAAAAAAACCATGTGACGAATTTTGAAAAATAAGTAGTACCATAGTATTCAACTACTTATTAGCTATAAAAAACGTAAATAGCATTTTTTTATGGGAATGTTACTTATTTAGAGAAATAAGGTACCTACCTAACATATAATATTTAATCTATAAAATAAATATTAATCGCTAAATGTGTTGCTAAGCGCAAATCTCGAAAACAGCTGAACCGATTTGGATAATAGGGGTGATGACGAGGTACAGTAAACGAAATTCTATTTAGTCCGTCAGTTAGATGATCAAAAAATAATGGACACGTATTTTTTCTTTGGGCAATCAACCAAAAAATGACAAATTTATAGCGCGTCAAAGTTTGGGAGTAGGGGCTCGTGACGTCACTTTTGAGTGAATTTTCCCTTATAAGTGTACTCAAACGTGACGTCATTCGACCTTTCAAATCAATATATCTCTGCAATGTTTATATTATGGGAAAAAAGAAAAAATACGTGTCCAATACTTTTTGATAATCTACCTGATAAACGAAGAAAAAAGAATTAGTCATCATCCCTATTGCTTTTTTAGAATATTCCTTGTAGTACGAGGATGGTTCTTACGCAGAGAAAATTTTTAAAAAAATGCCAGAAATTGTTAATAAAAGTCAATTTGAACTTTAATACCATACCATAAATTTCAAATGTTAGTGGAGAGGTTCCGTTCCGGGTAGGCAAAACAATTGAGTGACGTGATGTCAATAGAAGTTTGGAAAAGGCTAATATACCATTTTCAGTATTTTCTTCAAAGAATTTCAGTTTTTAAGTAATTTTTTTCATGACTGGACGCCATTTACACCTGGGATAATTTACTTTCTAAATCCCAATCTTCCTTTGCCGTCCTAAGGAAGACCTGTGCGTGACCCAGCAGCAGTGGCGTAGCATAGGTCACTAGCACTCGGTGCGGATTCCAAATTTGCCGCCCTCTTATTTTTGCAATCCATTATAAAAAAAATGAGGCATGGTAAAAAGAGTACTTTTATTGCATAACACTAACTAATTTTTTGACATAGAGTAGAAGGTAGACTATCACAATATCACTTAGAAAAATTACAGAGAAAACGTAATACAATAATTCCTAAATAATAGTTATTGAGAAACCTTGCGCTTGCAGCACCCATGCATAGAACCTGCATAGGTACCTGGGTATTTGGTAACAACAACAAAAAAATAACGAAAAAAAAACTGAAAGAAATTAACTTTTTTTTATATTTTAATTTTTTTTCTCTATCTGCCACCTCCGCAGCGCCGCCCCCGGCAAAGTGCCGCCCGGTGCGGACCGCACCCCCCGCCCCCCCCCCATGCTACGCCACTGCCCAGCAGTGGAGGCATTAATAGCCTGATGAGAATTGGGGGGCTGAAGCAACGATATTAAATACTCTAGATACACCACCAGCGCTCAAAATATGTCCCAAGCAAGAAGTGCTTGGACGATGCCCACTAGCACTTCTTCGTTCACAGTCTCGCGCGGACCGTTGCATCGTATAGATGTCCCTTTTTGAACCCTTTTTTCTTTAATGGATCGTCGTGTTGAGAGAGATCAAGTTATCCTTCATAAAATAATGAACAATTGTATTGACTCTCCATTTCTTTTGATTAGCATTGGATTAAGATGCCGTCGGGCAGGCTCCCGTCTAAAAAGTTCATTTAATTTGCTTATAATTAGCACCAAATATACTGCAAATACTTTTGTGTTAAGGTCTTCTACTGACTATAACAATAGGTTCATATCAACTTATATATTTAACTGTTCTACAAATCATTGAAAAAAATAAAGGTACATGACATAATACATAGTTAATAATTATAATTGTAACTTACTAAACTTGTAATTTTTTTATTGGTAATGTAGCGTCAGCGTGTGCTTTGAATCTAGAACCGAGCACGGAAATTACAGCTGACGCACATAAATATTAGTTAGGAAAATTAGTATATAACTTACTATATATATATAAGTAGTAATCGAAACTACTATATTTTGCTCAAAGCAGACTTTTGCAAGTAAAAGCTTTCTTAAATATAAAAACTGAATTATTAAGATATATAGATAAAGCAGCAAATATACTCATTCCAAAAGTGAATATTTTAACCACATTTTTTTTTTTTTTTTGCCATTTACTATATTTTTAGAGGTAACAGCTTCGAAAATACTATATTTGATAGAAAAAAAGTTGGTAACCCTACTCGGAATCCTACAAATGTGTAAGTACAAGGGATCTTTGCAATCAGAATTTATACTTCAATAAATATTTCATACGATTTATTAAAGCGATACAAAACTTGCAATGACTAGACAAACTATAAATACCTACTAAATCTAGATATCACCAATTAACACACTGGTAATCCATAAAATAATTTGAGTCTATATTATACAATTTAACAAGTACTTAGTTGAAAATTTTATCATACAGTTTCTTGTCAATGTACTATGTGATAAATTAATTGTAATTAATAAATAGGTAAGTATGTAGTTTGGTGTTGCTTTTAATTTAACAATCTATTGTAAAACTGTGCTTTCGACAAAGGCTAAATAAACCTAGAGCGTCATTTGTGCGGGATTTGTCTACACGTAATTTGGTTGCAGCTTTTTAGTCTTTACATTTCTGTAGGTAATGAGTATGCATGCAGCAAGGTGTGTAGTATTACATTAGTAACTGCAGAAGACTAAGGTGTGTATCTTTTTAGTTACTTAATATAGCTGATTAAAGTCTCCACCCTAATCGACGAACTATCGAGGTAACCCTGACGACACTCCTTGAGAATATTGTATACTGATTAAAAAACATAATTCAAAATTCAGAACAGCGTTTCTAGCATAGTCTCAAAGTGCGTAATTTATGTACTTAACATCTTTTTTGTTAATGAACCGATCGGAATGAAACATACATTACCTAAATGTTACAGGAAACCATAATCATGGACTTATAATACGTCCATGGCCATAATAGCTTCTTTTGAAGAGAGCTGCCTTCTGTAAACCAAGGGAACTAATAAGTCAAAACGCTGGAATCCCAAGTTGAGTGAATAAAAAGAAGAATCATGCAGGCAGTTTAATGAATCCAAAATAATAGGGGACGATAGTTTAAGGCTTTATCTAAGGTAAGTGATACAAATAAGGCCTACCTAATTTCAAACACTCATATTATGATAAATTATTCGAAGGTGATAAATAAAAGCAAGGCATTATATCCTTTGGTTCATAAACTTTAAGTAAGAAAACATATTATCAGTAATAACTTAAAAAGAGCTAATTCTGGAATCTTAGCCTTAGGCCTTTTAAAAATATAGTGACTTAACAAAGCCTGAGTATATATTATATTAAAATATGTATTTCTGAGCCTTTAATCAAGTGTGTCCATGGGATCCTTGAACAACATTATAAGTTATTTTACTAAATATTTTGCTTTAATTGCTATATATATTTAAAGTCAGATTTGAAGTCGCATAATAACAACAAATAAAGAATAATATAAAAAAAACATATCCATACAAACAAAATTTGCAAATTAACATATCTTCTCACAAGTATTATTAAATATTAGAAAATAAATATATTTTAATAGATATATTTGATACAAGTGAGGCATATTATAAAAGTAGGCTTCATTTAGTACATTAAACTGCATAAAAGTTATAAGCAGTATTTAATTCGCTTATTCTAAAAATTTCAATTTTAAGTCTAAGTTAACTTATTTATATAGTTTATTTATTTGATTAGTTATATTGTGATCCGTATACATAACATGAAACAAAACTTCAAAGAAAAACGTATTAAAATTCGAAAAAATTACGAAAAAATAATAACGCGCTTTGAAAACGCTCGTGCTTCAAAAAGTACCGCCACTACGAGCTCGAGCGGACCGCTCGTGCACAGTTTGCCGAGTTGTAGAACTGTCGTCTATGCGTGTGTAAAGTATCTTTGATGTAAATATATTTTGATAGACTTTTCTGCACTACAGGCCTTATTTGTATCAGGTACCTAACAACAAAGAAATACGAAACACTAAGTTATGCTTGGGGATACATACGAGAGAAATGGAATCTATATATATATAATCTATGTTCCAAAGGTGGCATGCGCGTCGTTCACGCGCATCCTACCAGATCCTTTAGACACATAAGCCCTATCTTTTTCCTACTAAAGCGTCTG